TATATTTTTAAATATATACATACAAACTATTATTAATGCAATTACGGATTTTACAAAAATTATCGTACAAAAAAAAAACCTACATTCTTTCTCACTATTCAATGTGAGAAACACAAATAGTTTCTCGAATCCTATACGCACATAATTCTACCTTTAGTTTTTATATCTTAAAATTTAACAATTTGAATAACTGCACTTTGAATATCATTAGTAGATTTTAGGATCAATGTTTTTGTATTGCAGTAGTTATCAAGGATGGATTGAGTAAATGCTTAGTTGCACTTTATCCTTTAATAAGGAACATGTTATTTCGCCAAGTTTTTATTTTAAAAACTGAACTATATTGTTTTGATTTCCTCAAAGTAGTGTAGTTACTTACAATTCATTGAAACTTCGAAACAATATAAAATAATATTTTGTGAAGTATATTTGAATTTACTAATACACATACATACATATATATTCTTTAAGAGTTTTACAAAACAGTTTATGCATTAGTGATTATTTAATAATTAACTGCCTTCATTAAAAATCTCGTTTAGTATAGAAATAATACCAATCAACGAATAATAAGAACTCCATGCCAAAAGTCATTTCAAAAACATTATGATTGTCATGTAAGCATATAGAACAATATTACTATCTCTATTTCTTTGTTTCTTATTGCTTAATATAAATATATCAATTTATGACATTGTTAGATGTATACGAAAAAACTAATTGTTTAGCCAGGAAGTGACTCATATCCCTTAAACAAAAATGGGTTTGTTATTCCTGATGGAGTGGACTACGTCGATACATGGAAAGCCATGGAAGAAGTTTATAAAAAGGGCCTCACAAGATCAATTGGGGTTTCCAACTTCAACAAAAAACAAATTGAACGACTGCTTAACTCTAGCTCCGTTATACCCGTAACCAATCAGGTTTGTGAAGTAAAAATATACCCGTACCCTAAATTGATTGAATTCATTAGATACCTTTTTTTTTCAAATGTATGTATCAACCAGCCAACTAAAAAACAAAAAGTGATTCTAATTTTCGCCTGTTTGACAGCCCTCGAAATCTAACTTCAAACGTGTGCCAAAAGATAGTTTACCATAAGATTTCAATTTTCGGTACGTTTTAGACTGAGACTACTTTTGATTCATGAGATACTGGATGTAAATTTTTTGTTCAATTTTCCTCGAGGAGGGGAATTCTACAAAAGACACTCCATGAAGGGTCGGATTCGCCAAACGATTGAAAACCCTCCTCGAGCAGGGAGATCAATCTGGAGGTTATGCATCCCAGGAAAGATTCTGTGGAAATGGACTATAAAGGAAAAGGGGATTGAGTGTATGAGAGGAACTATTTGGGGGAGAAGGGTGACGAAAAGAGAATCAGTGGCACACCTCGGATATGTAGGGGGGCAATACGCTGGTGAATTAATCATTACAATTTAGAAAGATCCTTTTATGAAATTCTACAAAGGGCGCACTAAACGCCATCTGCAGTACAACGCTACATTTAGTGGAATTGAAGATGTTCAACGAGATCCATCTTCATATATAGATATTTGCTTGCTGAACTAAATCCATAGCGTAGCCCACCATATGTGTTAGGTACATTACCAATAGTACCTACCGACCGGCATGGTCCAGAGGTTTAGACCATTGCTTAGCATTCGGGAAGACGCCGGTTCGATTCCGACTCTGTCTGCCTTGATCCCAGTTTTTCTGTGGTTTCCTTGGATCACTAGACAAATGCTGAGGCAGTAATATCCCACATATAATCTTTCATCCTCTTGTGTCATCATTCTCACCCGAATCACTACCCGCCCAATCCCACGATTCCTGAAAGGAGGTTGTTAAGAGCCTTCCGCCTTACCCTCCGACGTAGTCCGGAGGGATTGTCCGCCCACCAGCATTAGTGGCTGGTGGGAATGAAACACCCAAAAATTTTTTTTACCAAAATTTAACAAAGAAGTTCATGGTGATCAGTGTTTTGTCGAAACTACCAGACGCGGATCGATAGAATATTGACTACCATGAACATCTTTGTTCAATTAATTTCTAGATCAATATTTCAGTTAAAATCTGGTAATTAACTATCGTATACATATTTTAAGGGTCAATTATTACCAATAAAAATTCAAAATGACGAATGAGGAGCGAAAAATTTTAGTTTACCACTAAAAAGCTGTTTTGAAGAGTCTTTTGGTCGTTGATTATAAGTCTGGGCACAAAGTTAAAGGTGGGAAACATTAAATTAAAGAATTACGAATTACCCCCAATATACACTGTTTGTGATGGAACAATACTATATTAGCAATTCTGAATACAGAAAGATCTAGTAGCCCTAACAAATGTGATTACCATACCATTTGTGAAAAAAATCGTAAGCAATTCTAAATACCAACAAAAGGAATGATTTAGTAGTCGTAACAATGACAATTTAGACAAATGACACCAATTAAGAAAGAAAGAGATGAATTCCTACATTTTTTGACGTGACAACGTCTTATAATTCGATGGAGCCGGCTGCACGCACGAAAAAACATGACTCATGCGGCGTTACCTCGCTCTGAGGCGTTCCATTTAAGGCTTGAAGTGCAAGCGAGAGCGCGGAACGAGCGACAAAGAGGCAC